AATTGTCAATTAACAATGGTAATTTTCTTTCTTATGATGATACATATATCCTAATGAGCTTGAGATAAAGGATACCACAGAGTCTGACACATCTGTTTCATACTTGGATATTTTAATTCAAAAAGATGTTAATAGTAATCTAACAACCAAGCTTTATGATAAACGTGATGACTTTAACTTTTCTATCGTCAACTTCTCTTACTTATGAAGAAATATACCTTCATCACCTGCATACATGTACAGAGTTAATATATCTCAATTGATTCGATACGCAAGAGCATACTCTACGTATGAACAATTTCTAAAAAGAGTTAAATTATTGACAAACAAGTTGATGAAACAAAAATATCAGCAGTCTCGTTTAAGTCATTATTTCGTAAGTTCTATGATCGATACAATGACCTTGTCAGCAAATACAATTTATGATAAGTCAAATGCTGACTGACGTTTTTCATACTTATTGTTAGTCCATTCTTTATACTCTGCATTGACGACGAAATTTTCCGTGTCCTATATTCTTTAATGATAATAACCGAATCACTCGTAGCACTGTAAATTGACATGTTTGCTGTTTTCAGTTAGGCCTACCTATCCAGGTAAAAAAAAAATTACGGGCTACAATTCAGATTATTTTTTTTTTATAATTGCGACAATATATAATGAACTTGTGTGACATCTGCTCTGGAAAATTATTGATGAAGTTTTTTTCCTGAATTTCTTAATCTAATAATATCCCCTGAAATTGATATTTAAAAAACACACTTGTAGTTTTCTGATCAAGGGTCGAAAAGATGAATGGAATGGTTTTATCTTCTATCGTATTTTTTAGTTTTTTGTGTATACGGATAGAGTGACTTGAAAAAAATCAAGAAAATGTTAATTTAAATACGATTTACCGGTTAATCGGTCGGAACGTTCGACGGTTAACCGATTACCTATATTCGATTGCCATCCCTGGTCACATTGTTAGTATGCGAAATTGTGTAACGAGGCAACAGAATATATTTGAAAGTGATTTCTCACTTACTTTTAAGTTTATTTAACTAACTTAAAGCGTAATTCACACGTAATTATTGACATGATTTTTATTTACTCTTAGCTGATAGATTGTGATAGTTTCCAGATGGTTTATCGCTGTTTCTCGTCAAATGTAGCTGTCCATGTACTCTTTCTTTTTAAAGCAGTTCCTTGCCTTGTACTGACTCAAAACAGTGCAAATCATGTAACTTTTTTTTTTATTTCTGTACAATAGCATGGCTTTATAAAGCGCAAGATGACAACAGTGTTTCTCATTTGTTCGACTGCTTTTCATGTTAAAAGACTGGCATTTTTAGGGTTACTTTCGAAATCTAGCATCATAAAAGATGGATTCGACTGCATAATTCTGAAGTTTCAGATTGTAAATGTGAAAGAATTAATTTTTCAATGGTAACAATCAACTATTTTAAAAGATAAATACTTTTTTATTTTTTCATTTGGCATGCTTTCTTTTTGCAGCATTGTCATTTTTCGGCGCTACATTTCGAGAAAACCACGAGAATGGAAAATGAGCAAAGTTCTTCAAAAAATTCTTATCTGGAAGATGACAATTTGAAAATATCAACCAAATAGTATCAACGAAAGCTGGATAATTTTAATTTGTAAATACCAATGGTGAAATCATACAGATGTAACATTAAAATCATTTTTAATTATTTTAAAAGACACTGACAATAACAACTCAAAATAAATATATACTCCCAATAAAATACGTTGTACAGTTCCTTACATATTCAAGTCACTGTCAGAGGGATGTTCATTATTTTAAATAAAAGAAAAAGAATTAAACCTAGTCACTATTAAATTATACCTTTCTTTAATTCTCTTGTGGATTTGTTTCTATTGCACCTAGCTATCTTCAAGTCAATTGTACCTATCTTTAATTCAGTTGTATCTATCTTCAAACGAATTGATAATGGGTATGATTCAATGAAACCTATCTTCAATTGAATTAGAGATATGTATAATTCTGTTAAGGATAGGTGTAATTTATTTAAAGTGATTTTAAACCCAGGTCTAATTATTTAAAGATGGGTTAATTATTTCCACCTATTTTAATTGATTTAGACCTTTCTTTAATTCAATTGTACGTATCTTTAATTCGTTTGAAGATACGTGTAGGTTCAATTATTTTAAAAACAGGTTTAATTATTTGAAGATAGGTACAAATATATGAATATATGTTTATTTGGCGTTCTATACATATTGTTAATTTGAATTTACTTGGTATGGACATCCTTTGTCGTTTCCGCTTTTCACAAACCACCAACTTTCAACAGAGAGGAACAGCGTACATATGAACAGAAGATGACAAATCTTTAAAAAAAAAAACAAATGCATTTGGTTATGTTTTAAACATCCAAATTATGACCATCTTTTATCTGCAGAAAAATAACTTACCAAAACAAATCGCATTTTGTTTGCCTGAAGATCACCTAACCAAGTCTCTGTAAATGATCTGAAGCTTGTGCTGAATTCTCAAGAATCTTAAATTGAAAGCTCTAAATGATCTTATATATATCCAAAACTACCAAGTAAATTCAAATTAACAATATGTATAGAACGCCAAATAAACATATATTCATATATTTGTACCTATCTTCAAATAATTAAACCTGTTTTTAAAATAATTGAACCTACACGTATCTTCAAACGAATTAAAGATACGTACAATTGAATTAAAGAAAGGTCTAAATCAATTAAAATAGGTGGAAATAATTAACCCATCTTTAAATAATTAGACCTAGGTTTAAAATCACTTTAAATAAATTACACCTATCCTTAACAGAATTATACATATCTCTAATTCAATTGAAGATAGGTTTCATTGAATCATACCCATTATCAATTCGTTTGAAGATAGATACAACTGAATTAAAGATAGGTACAATTGACTTGAAGATAGCTAGGTGCAATAGAAACAAATCCACAAGAGAATTAAAGAAAGATATAATTTAATAGTGACTAGGTTTAATTCTTTTTCTTTTATTTAAAATAATGAACATCCCTCTGACAGTGACTTGAATATGTAAGGAACTGTACAACGTATTTTATTGGGAGTATATATTTATTTTGAGTTGTTATTGTCAGTGTCTTTTAAAATAATTAAAGATTCAAATCAATTGCACCTATCTTTAAATCATTCATTACTAGACAGAAAGCCTATGAAATTTATGTGAAATAATTCTGCTGGTATACAAAAGAGTTTCAAAATTTTTCGTATTTTACATTACACGACTGTTTCGTAGTTTGGTTATTTTAAACCTCTATCATTCCTAATAATAACACCTATTTTTAAATCGTGGCATTTGTACCTATCTTCAAATCAATTGTACCGATCTACGAATCAATATGAAATAGGTATAATTGATTTGGAATTAGCTACAATTAATTAAGGATTGGTACAATTGAATTAAAGATAGGTGCAATTAATTAGAAGACAGATACAATTATTTCAAGATAGATGCAAATATTGAATATTTGTTAACTTGGGGTTCCATGAAAATGATTTTATTTTACTTTGTAATCCCTTTCCACAGTAGAGCTGCTGTTACCCAAAGTTTTAATACATTCAAAATTAATCAATCTTTCTTACGACAGTCTATCATAAAGGGTGTCGTTTAATAAGCTCGAATGTGACCCATCACATACCCACCCCTAAACAAGAAAAGAAAAATAAAACCATACTTTATTTACGAGGGCCGTTCAAAAATTACGCGGATTTGTTGCACAGAAGAAATATTTGACGGCATAATCGGGCTAAATTTCACAAATAATATAAAAGAATCTTTACTTATATGGTATTCAAAATTTCATATCAAAATGTTGTAAATTGGTATTAATTTTCAGTGATTTTTCAGGACATACCATTAAGTCACGGCGCAGCCAAATCTTCGACGTCACAAGCATTAAAAAAAATATGTAATTAAGCTTTCATTTTCTCAACGTTTTCCCCTGAGTACCTGTATAGTTTGAGGTACCTTATCTACTCAACATCAAAACAATTTCTTGTCAAGCTTAAAATATATGAAACAAGTAAAGAGTATTCTTTTTTTTTAAACCAAAAGCTACTTATGAGATATAGTGTGATATTGGTGGCTCTCAATCACCTTCTTTACAGTCCGGATAAAGTTAACTTTTCGTCTATAATCTTCTTCCCGTCCTCCCGTATAGCCTTTTTACAGAGGTCTAACTGTCTAAAATTTCAATTTGCTATTTGAGGGCGAATGTCACGAGTAGCCTAGTTTACTACATGTTTTATTATGCATATTTTGGATCTATGTTGCCGATATCTCGAGCATTACACATATTTTAACAAAGGTGTGGTGCGCCGTCAATTCAGGAGACGTCATTTTCACAATCGTTTTCACGGGAATTGCATCAGAGAAAAATCACTAAATTTCTGTTAGTACTTCAAATATTACGTCCGAAATCTAAATACATAATAATAGAACAATTTAAAGGTACATTTGAGAAAATTGCTGAAAAATATCGCGAATTTTAGAAAATCATTGAGTTAATTTTTTGAATCCGCATGCTTTTGCTTCATTTTTTTTGTCGTGCGCCGTACCTCTCCATCAACAATATCAACATACCGATAATTTTAGTAGAATTTTTTTTTAAATACATAAATTTTGCCCAAAATCTATTGGAATCTTTAAGATACATATTTCTGTGAAATTTTATAACTATATGACGTCTGTAAGAGTAATTAATAGCACAGTCCCCGTAATTTTTTAACGGCCCTCGTACTAATTAGGTATTCCGTGATATATATATATATATATATATATATATATATATATATATATATATATATATATATATATATATATATATATATATATATATATATATATGTTTGTTTTATAAACATTTCTTTTTCTTATTTTATTTTTATGAATACTTTATTTAAAAAATTGTATTAAATTTAAAAAAAAACTTTGAATTTTTACAGGTAATGCAAAGCCGTATTACTTTGGTACAACAGACCTCGAATGCATGCGGAAAAGCGGGAAGAAAGGGAAACGCAGTGCGCCTATGAGAGGGACATGGGATTATACCCCTCGTTTTATCTACTACAGAGGCAAATATCTTGAATTTACAGGTGAGTTTTTTTTCAAAAAAATGTGTTAACAATTTTTCTCGCTAATAACATTTAAATAATTTTAAAACCATATTATTAATTTTATTATTATTATCATTATAATTATTCTTAATCAGGTAATTCATAACTTTTTTCTAAATGTAAAATACATATCATTCAGTTTTTATACAGAGTCATATCAATCTTAAACCTTCAATCAATTTTCATTTGCTAAGTATCACGAATTTACTTTATGAATTTACCAGTATTTTTTCAAAGTTTTTCCAAATATTTTTCCCATCACAGATTTAAACACTTTACCTGTAGTCAATTTACACAGGCTATAAATCATCTGTAATTAATTTCCCTCTTCCTCCTTTTAATTTCCTGTACACTATTCCCACCTCACTCAGAGCTCCTTGGATGGCTCGCACCTCGCACACTGACCTCGAACGTCAAAAAGGTAGATGATAGAAAGGTATTCTACCATCTTGCTGATTCAATAATGTGATTTTATTTGAATTTCAGTGACTTTTGTGCGCGTCCAACATTTTTTTTCTGCTTTTGAGACCTACTAAAATAAGGTTGTTATCAAAACCCAATTTACAATAAAGAATTAGGAAAATTAAGTAACTTTTTGAAGAACCTTATGCAAAAGCCAAACATGAGATGTGTTACAAGGCAGTTTCCAGACCTGATGCGTATTCCTCCAACAATCACATCCAATGTTTATATGAAGCGTAGCGGAGTTAGATGAGGGTTGCCGATCGTTTCCTGCTACAATATGGAATCCTCGGTTAACACCGCTACGCTCCATTCAAACTTCATATATGGTTGGTGGAGGATTACGCATCAGGTCGATACATTTTTCAGCCAAAAACTGCCTTGTATTACATTTCACATTTCGCTCTGCATAAAGTTCTTCCATAAGGTTTTTAGCTCACCTAAGATGAAAGCTCAAGTGAGCTTTTCTGATCACATTTTGTCTGTAGTCCGTACGTCCGTCCTTTCGTCTGTAAACTTTTCACATTTTCGACTTCTTCTCAAGAACCACTGGGCCAATTTTAACCAAATTTGCCACAAAACATTCTTGAGTGAAGGGGATTCAAGTTAATCAAATGAAGGGCCACGCCCTCTTTCAAGGGGAGATAATTTAGAAATAGTGAAAATTTAGTGGCATATTTCAAAAATCTTCTCATCAAGAACCACTGTGCCAGGAAAGTTAAAACTTTTGTGACAACATCCTCAGGTAGTGTACATTCAAGTTTCTTCAAATCATGACCCCTGGAAGATGGGTGGGGCCACAATGGCCGATCAAAGTTTTACATAGAAATATTTAGAAAAATTCTTTAAAAATCTTCTTCTCAAGAACAGCAAAGCCATGATTGGTCTTATTTAAATGGAAGCATCCTCAGATAGTGTAAATTCAATTTTGTTCAATTCATTGTCCCCGGGGTAGGGCGGGGCTTCAATGACCGATCAAAGTTTTACATAGATATATTTAGGAAAGCTCTTTAAAAATCTTTTTCTCAAGAATAGCAAAGCCATGATTGGTCATATTTATATGAAAGTATTCTTAGGTAGTGTAGATTCTAGTTTGTTCAAATCAAGAGCCCTGAGGAAAGGTTTGGGGCCACAAATCTAAGTTTTTCATAGAAATATATAGAAAAATTCTATAAAAAAAATCTTCTTCTCAAGAACAGCAAAGCCATAATTAGTCGTATTTATATGGAAGCATCCTCATCAGGTAGTGTATTTTTAAGTCATGACCCCATGGGGTAGGGTGGGACTACGATGGATGAGCACAGTTTTACATAGCAATATATGGGATTTTTTCAATGATTTCGAACCCGCGACGTTCGGATGAATTTCCTACTTCGCGACTCTAGACCAGACGTTATAAACACTGCGCCACGCAAGCTTTGAAAGCAAGAACATAGTGTTATGCGTGCCACAAAATAACGTATTTCAACAGGATAACATTTAAACGAAATTCAAATAAGATCACGTGACTGAATAAGCAAGATGGTAAAACACCATTTATGTCCGAGGTCAGTGTGCGAGTAAGGAGTCACTTAAGGTGATCGGTGTCCCACCTATTCAAAACAGGTCACATGTAGAAGCTTAATAATTTTGACTTCACGGGAAAACTTCATTTAACATACAGAATTAGGCATATACGAAAAATACTTACTGATTTATTATCCTTCCGTATTTTTCCTCATGAAATTTCTTTAGTAGCACTGGCGTTTCTAACAAATTATTGATGACAATTTAAATTTTTTGTTGCTACATACAATATTAAAACTCCTTTCTACAATGAATGACACAGTGAGCTTTTTATCAGTGAATACATATAATCAAGTTACTGCTTTTAGACTTCAGCATATTTTATTCAAATGGCCATTTGTTAAGCAGGAAACTGGCTATGTATGTCTACATAAGTAATAATCTGATCAATGCATTATCAATTTTCCATTTAGGGTCCGGTTCGAGAAGTGGATATAGTCGTTTAGATGAACATTGCAGAGGAAAAACCGAAAGATATCCAGCTGGATACAGCTACCTAAGTTTGGATTGTATCGAACGATGTGTTAGGCGTTATGAAAATGAGTACGGCAGATACGATCTGGTTTCGAATAACTGTCACAACTTCGCTAACAGAATGTCCGAGGTTTTGTGCAGAAGAGGTTACCAGTGTCCGTCATGGTGCAACTAAATGCAAGCTTGAAATTAGATGGTCAGATAAACAAATCTGATATTTAAAAAAAAAATGTTCTCAACTGCTTCAAAATACATTGATTTATTAGTATGGGGGCATATTTAAAGGGTGTGATTAGGCTAACTATTTTAGTGAGTCCCAGATGGGTCCACAGTTGTGTCTTGAAGGGGGTTATTTAATTCAGGGGAGGATTTTTTGCTTACCTGGGCTTTAGTAAATGAAAAACCTAATCTTTGAATGTTTTCACGTTTTGAATTATTTTTGCATGGATATAAAGGATAATAAAGTTTCTGTTGAGATGATCAATTTACTAAAAGTTAAACAAAATTTGAAAGTATTAATTTAAAACAAAGACATTCTTAATTAATTATTGGTACAAAGTTAATTTTTTTCAACTTTAAGAAATACTCTTAAAATTTTGGTAAGGCATTTGCCTCACTTGCCTTCATGGTAGTTACGGTCTAGTACAATTGCATTTACATGTATGCCATTCAAATAAAATTTGTCAACATATTAAAGATATTGCACCAGGATAACTATTTCACCTTGGCATGGAAGCTACATGTATTGCATTTTGTAGTGTTGGCTTTCTCGACATGACGAGATATTTGTCCCCTAAATTTGAGAGGGAGATATATTAATGCAGTAGTGTAATTTACTCAATAAATAAATAGATGATATCCAATGTTTTGGAGTTAAATATAAAGAAATCCTGTCTTACGAGTGAAACAAAATGTCAGAGGAAATCTTGGCTTATCTAAGGACACGGATGCTTGTCTCTAGTAAAGAAAAAACAAAATAAGATCAGTAGGCCTTATTAATCAAACTTTTCTATGGAACGCCGTAACTGCCTTATGTGAAGAACTTTCATTATTTGCTAGTATTTTGTCATTATATGCTAGTATTTTGTCATTATATGCTACTACTTTGTAATTATATGCTGGTACTTTGTCATTATATGCTACTACTTGTCATTATATGCTGGTATTTTGTTTATATATTCTGGTATTTTGTCATTATTTGCTGGTACTTTGTCATTATTTGCTAATACTTTGTCATTATATGCTACTACTTGTCATAATATGCTACTACTTGTTATTATATGCTACTACTTTGTCATTATATGCTACTACTTGTCATTATATGCTGGTATTTTGTTTATATATTCTGGTATTTTGTCATTATTTGCTGGTACTTTGTCATTATATGCTTGTATTTTGTCATTATATGCTACTACTTTGTAATTATATGCTGGTACTTTGTCATTATATGCTACTACTTGTCATTATATGCTGGTATTTTGTTTATATATTCTGGTACTTTGTCATTATATGCTGGTACTTTGTCATTATTTGCTAATACTTTGTCATTATATGCCGGTATTTTGTCATTATATGTTGGTATCTTGTCATTATATGCTACTACTTTATCATTATATGCTACTACTTTGTCATTATATGCTACTACTTGTCATTATATGCTGGTATTTTTTTTTATATATATTCTGGTATTTTGTCAGTATTTGCTGGTACTTTGTCATTATATGGTACTTCTTTGTCATTATTTGCTACTACTTGTCATTATATGGTACTTCTTTGTCATTATTTGCTACTACTTTGTCATTATATGCTACTACTTGTCATTATATGGTACTTTTTTGTAATTATATGCTACTACTTTGTCATTATATGCTACTACTCTGTCATTATATGGTACTTCTTTGTCATTATTTGTAGACATGTCCATGTACATGCCACTAACCCAGTTTTTCCAAAATATGCAACCTTTTTACACGTGCTTCTTGAATTCACCTGCCTGCTTACCGAAAGTTCCATTTTCCAAACGCCCTATTCTTGATCATCAAGACGCTTCCACTCTATCGCGTAACAGCGACGTTTATGTTATAGAGACAAGCGTCTGGATGATCGACTTAACTCGTTTTGGAAATTGTTAATACGTATAACATGTTGTTGCGTATCGAATCACCTGAGAGAGATAATTCTTATACATAGCTGATAAAGGTATATTGCTGCATAGGTGAGGATATTAACGATTGAAAAGTTGAAACGTTCACATTACAAACCTTTGTTTTTAGATTACCATTAACGACTTTAAGATTTCATCAAAGGTCAACATGTCCAAAAAAATTATTTTTACAATAGCTCCAAAACAATGTGAGGTATAGAGTTAAAACTATTACAGTTTATAAATACATCATTGTTTAACAGATAAAGTATCACTTGAAAACAAATATTTAAAAACAATAGTTTTATCGAGAAAATATAAATTAAAAAAATGTGCATCTTTAAAAAAAATGCACCTGGTTAATTCTGTACTTCAAGTAAAAACCATCATTGTAGAAATAACGGGTATATGTTTATCAAAAATGGACAAGTTGGACGTGAATGGTCTTTGAATGGCTCTTATTTAAAGCATGGCATGTATAAAGACAAGACCTCTATAAAATCTGCCATTTGCAATGCACATGTACTTTTGGTTTCAAATCTTAACATTTGGACAAAATAAGCAGGGAAAACAACTTTCCGGAGTCTATCGAAGTCCAACTTGCCCTTCATTGATAAACATATAATCTTTTTGCAATGATGGCTTTCACTAAAAGCACTTCATCATCATCATCATCATCTTCTTCCTTTACACCATGTGATGTGTAGGGCAGCAACAAACTTCCTCCACCATTGCTTGTCCTGGGCTAGCCTTGACAATGAACCCCAGCTCTGGTGCATTGCCTTCATCTCGCCTTCTACTGTCCTTCGCCATGATGTTCTAGGCCTCCCCTCTTTCTTTTGCCCTCTGGTGTCCAATGCAGTGCTGTTCTAGTTGTTGACTGGGGGTCTTTTCTGAGAACATGTCCAATCCACCTCCATCGGCGCTTGGTTATGATGGTACCCATGTCCTCTTTTATCTGCTCAGCAGGTCTTCATTTGTTATCTTATCGGGCCAGAAAATCCTGAGTATTTGGCGGAGGCAGGTGGTATGGAAGGATCGTAGTTTGCCAAGATCTGTCTCCTTATTCTCCAGCACTCCGATCCATAAAGGAGAGTTGACACAACACAGCTCTGGTAAAGCTTCAGCTTGGTGCTGGTGCTGTACTGTGTAGACCTCCAGATGTTATTCATTTCCCTAAATATTCTCCTGGCCTTGCCTAGTCTGCTGTGTTTGTCCTCCTTTGTGCCGCCCTCTGGTGTAATGACACTATCCAGGTAAATAAAGTTATCTGTCTTGCGTAGTTCCTCCCCATTGATCTTAACAGGGGCAGGCAATTCCACATTAAGTGTCATTGTCTCCGTCTTCTTTGTACTGATGCGTAGTCCCACTTGCTGTCCATAGGTTTGCAACCGGTTGGTCTCTCTTGGATATGCTGGTGCGTATGAGACATTTGAGCAAGGTCATCCGCAAAGTCAAAATCCTCCAGTGTTGAAAACAGGCCCCAGCGGATCCCCCTTGGAGAGTCTTCTGTTGTCTTCCGCATGACCCAATCGATGACCAGGTTGAACAACACTGCAGACATTACGCATCCTTGTCTGACTCCAGTTTTAACATCGAAGAAGGTGTCATTGTGTCCTACTGAGCATTTAAAGTTGTTATAAATAAAAGGTCTTTATCAGGTGGACCATTTTAGATGGAATGCCATAATGGCGTAGGATGCAACAAAGGCTATCTCGGTGTATGCTGTCAAATGCCTTCTCAAAGTCCACAAAGTTTACATACAGTTGTCTCTGCCACTCTGTGCACTGCTCTATGATGTTGCGGAGTGCAAAGATCTGGTCAGTACATCCTCTATGTTTTCTTTTGATGATTATTTTGGCCAGGATCTTATATTACTTGGCACAGACAATAGAGTGATTCCCCTCCAGTTGTTACAATCACTCAGGGCTCCTTTCTTAGGGATCTTGACAATCACCCCTTTACACCAATCATCAGGTACTTTCTCTCCATCCCACACAGCTGTGAACAGTGGATGGAGGATGGTGGCTGCTATTCCAGGGTCTGCTTTAAATAGCTCTGCATCAAGATTGTCACCTCCTGGTGACTTCCCGTTCTTAAGAGTCTTGACTGCATTCATTATCTCCTCCTTAGTTGGTGGGTCAGCAGGGTTCTCCATCATTTGCAATTGTACTGTGTTGCAGAGTTTACGCGAAACACTAAAATTTCGCGATATTTTCGCGATCAGATTCGCAGTGAATCTCTATTTATTATAATTACAAAAGAATACATCACAAACTTCTTTTAAAAATTACTAATTCATCACACAAATAGTATGGTCGTACATATTGATAAAAGTAAAAACAATTTATTTACATCAATTAAATTAATGCGGTACGATGGTCATATTTATGTTTGACTTACCGCAGTACCAACATAATTCTAGAGCCTCGGGTCTATAGAAAAAACATATTGTTTAAAAAATAGTACAATGTTTTTTTAATGCAACTAACAATTAACCGTTACATATAAGTGTGAAAACAAATTATTTGTCTTTGTTCCTTCATGCGTAAAGTCCGGCGAGGGTCTAGGAGATAATTGATTATGCAAGGTGAAGCCCTAATTAAGTGCTCTACCTTATATAATTGAAGACGGTAGGATTTTTTGATTGAGGTTTCAATTAGATAGAACTTTTGTGTTTTAATTTTCTGATTATCACAGATCTTGCTGTGTCGGCAAAATTTTTACTGTGTCGCACGCATAAAATTTGAATCGTTACTGTGTCGGAGAAAATTTTACTGTGTCGGAAGCAACACAGTAAAACAGGTCATGGAGAACCCTGGTCAGTGTCAATGTCCAGATCCTCTGTGGCTTCTGGTAAGACAACAGCTTCATCAGGTGATGGTCGATTAAGAACTTTACGGAAGTGTTCAACCCATCTCTCTTCTTGATCTTTGTCTGATGTCAGCAGTGTTCCATGTTTGTTTTTGATAGGTCATCCTGTGTTTCCTGTAAATTTGCCACACACTCGTTTCGTGATTTTATATACTCTCCCTTGCTCTCCCCGTACTGCTGCTTTCTCTGCCTCAGCT